TTGTAGCCAGGGCTTAACAGGCTCTGACTTAAAATGGCATTTTTAGAACTGGTATTAGGTTAATTTTCCCAGATTGTACAGAAAGGAAGAAATGCGGCTATGAAAAGAGAGAGCTTCCCACAGGCCGTTCAAAGAACCACACCATGTCCAGGAGTTTGCAGTACTTTGGAGCATCTCCTCAGACAGCTCCATTTGTTGCTTTGGGGGAAGCAGTGTCTGCAGCAATCCCTCTACTCTGAGTTCAAAATTATTGACCTTTAATTTCTTTAACTTCTAGATTTCTTTGCCCATGGTTTACAGAGTTGGAAGCCAAAGAATTCTGCTCTACATACTTTAGATGTATTAATTCATTCAACCCTAATATGACTTACAGTATATCTTATCCTCATTTTATATCCGAGGAAACTGAGGCACGGAGATGCTAAGTAACTGACCAATGGCCACACAGCTAGGAGGTGGTGGAGGCAGCATTATGAGGCAGTGGTAACCACTAAACTACCAGGGAGGATGGTCACACACCACTAACAGTCTCTAGCATGTGGCTCCCCAAAGCCAGACCGATTATATATTAAATCTAAGTAAGATTTAATAAGACAGTTACAATGCAAACTCAGCTTTAAGAACAACCCACTTCCAACCAAACTGCCACCCTTAAGTTTCTCTGCACAGAAATCATGGAAGTCCTGCTACCACTCACACTACAACCCTAGCTAGTCCTATGTTTACTAACATTGGATGCTTAAATCCAGAAGATACTATACCTATTCCCACTGTTATATTTCAGAAAGTAAATTATAATTCTATGCTTGTAAGTCAGTCTTCCTCGAAGGGTGAAACTGTCTCCTCAACTCTGTGTCCCTAACAAATAGCATACAGTATGGGACATAATAAATGCACAATAATTGTTCAGAACTTTACTTCTAAATAGCATACACTATCCAAATGAGCTAATGGGTTTCTAATTCGTGGGGATGCGAACAGGTTTGTTTTTAACTGCCACAAACACCAAAGTCAAACTAAAAAAGATATAGGCTAAAAGAGCAAGGGAAGAGCACTGCCTCAATCCCCACCCCACAAGCGTCCCCATTATCTCCATGAAGTGGTTGCAGCCTGTAATTTTAATGTTTCTTCTCAGAGTGACTCCCTCTGCTGCTCCAGCAAAGCCATGACCTAAATCAGAAAAGTGCTAAACGCAGTTAAGGCACTCTGGCTATTTGCACTAATTGGAGAACCCAGCATACATTAGAGAACAGTTATTTTTAAGTCTCAACAATAATTCTAAGAAAGCTAAGAAAGTTTATTTAGGACAGCTCGGTGCCTCCTTCAGGTCCTCAGGGGGGTTGCTCAAAAAAGGATCAGTATGTATTCTGATCAGGACAACCAGACTACAATGGGAGATGCGCTAGGACCCTGTCTTGTTGAATTTGGAATCCCCAGTATCCAGAACACAGAAGGCCAGGAAGTCAATAAATGTTAACAATTTTGTGGTTCCTCATTCTCTGCAAGTACTTGAAAAGTTTGCTCTCTGAAGCCTTTTAAGTATTCCCTAAGCTAGAATACATGAAATTATTGTTCTAAACAAAGGTAAACTAGCCTACTTTTCCTTACTGCCAATTCCAAACGTGAATTTATGAATTTACTCTGCTCCTAAAATAGAAAAATATATGGTATACTTGTCACGAAATTCAATCTTTCATGCCAATTGTCTATTTGTACCACACCAATATGCATAAATGCACGAAAGTAATTTTTACTCTTTTCTCAGAAGAAGTATATTATTTTAAAAACATTACAAATTATCTTACAATAATAGAGAATTATCCCAATATAATTAGAATCTTCAGTAATTTCCTGTTCTGAGTTTGGTGGTGTTAACACTCATAACACTAGTTGGTGCTATATAAGCGGAATATCAATGCTGTGTAAATCCAGAAATAAAATGCATTTATAAAACAGGAGGGCACTAATTCTGAAGCAAACTGATCAAGTGCACACACGTACACACACACACACACACGCTGCCTTTTCCTGGTAAAATCTTTCATTCTTGAAAGTCAGAAACACCACAAATTCCCTGGAGCTAGGAGTTCCCAGCAGTCCTGAATGAAACAATTAGAACATAGCCAGATAGGAGAAAGCTGTTGCCTAAAGTCTAGAAAACCTCCCAAGGACCTGTTTAAAATGACTGATGTCTTTCTTCAAACCACACTTACAAAATGAAGTACACTCACAAATAACACCCATTCTGCTTTTTTATCTTAAACACCTGTTATTTTCTTGGCTCTCTCTGAAGAGACACATATTTCCTAAAACTTCCAATTTTCTAGTATCTTTCCAACAACAGAATAAAAACCTTTTCCACTGTGTAAAGTGCTTAAATTAACTTTCTCATCTTAACTGCATACATACTTCCATCCATAAAAAATAGTTTATTCCCATCTTTAAGTCCTCAGCACAAGGAAATCATACCTTGAGGGAGCAACAGCATCTTTGATTTACCTAGTGATCTAGTCCGAAGAGAGAGGAGAAAGGAGAAGACATTAGAAGGAAAGGAAGGTCTGACTATCAGAGAATTATAGGAGTGTGACTCTGAGAAGAAAGTGTATGTATTAGTAGTTCAGTAGTAAACAGGCTAGGGGAATGGAATAGAGTGATAGTGATAGAAGCTGAAAGTAGGGTTTGGTGCTTTCTACATTTTTGATACCTAACACACAACACAGGAATAGCTGGTATCCTGCAACATGGAGGAAAACAAAGATTAAAGTGGTGGAATAGTGTCTCTCAAAGACCACAGATTCAAACATAAATAGTTTGCTCACCAGGAACTGAAAGAAAAAAACTATACTAAACGGAGAAGAACAGCAGTGAAATGCACACACCCAAAAGAATACATTTAATTATTCCACTTAAGATCAGAAAAGTAGGTGCAATCCTCAATCTCTGGCTTGCCTGGTCTATAAGATGAAAAAAGTGTAAGTGGCAAACACTCAGTCTGTCCTGACTGTCTTTTCTTTTCATCTCTTCTCCCTTCTTCTTTCAATATTAATCCACTCACAATCTCCTGTCTGCTGATCTTTATTGATCCTTTTTCCTACCCAGTCTTTTTAATTTGGCTGTAGGAAGCTCTCGGCAGGGATCCTATGTCTCCTATTTGGCATCTTTGGGGACTTTAACTTGTCCTTTTCCCAAACAGTTCTCTCACCGCCTGGTCCCCCTCCCACTCGCACCCTATAGCTTAGTCCTTTGTGCGACCAATAACAGCAGGCGAATTCCACAGGGAGTCACGCGGTTGATTCCACAACAATTCATCAGGTTGCTCCCTTCAACTTCCAAACACCCCCTCTAAGCACCCTCAGCAGCCGTCCTGAGAACTTCTCCCAATTTCAAGAAACCTGCAAGAAGTTTATGATTCTTAGGGGAGACTCCTTTGTAAAACGGACAGGCAGATGAGCTTTAGACATATGACTGAGAAAACCAGGGCCAAACCTCGGGGATGGGAGGCATTTGGCAAGAAGGGAAGGAAGGAATTATGAGCGTGGCTACTTAGCGAGGCAGCAGGACAATTTACTCCCGAAGTAGCTGTGGCTAATCCGCAGAGCCTCGCTGATCACGTACCTCCCGACACGGAACACACTAGCCTACGCTCAGCGCCCCCCTCCGCCTCCAACGCCCTGGTCCCCAGCGCCTCCTCAGATCTGAGGGGGATGCTGTCGGTAACCTCCGGAGTGTCTGAGCATCTCCGGGGAGTTGAGGCTATCGCCGCACCTCCTCTGCTTTCCAACTTTGGAGCGAGTGTAACCGAGAGAATGGGATGCCTGGATTACCTCCGAACGCTGCAGAAGCCTCCTCAATCCCTCGCACGCCCATCACAAGGAAGAGCTGAGCTCCCTCCCCTGTGCCAGCGACCGCCACAAAACTGGGCGGTTAAGACCCAGGTGGGCCCTCGGCTTGTCCAGAAGGTGGCGGGGGCACTGGGGACCCAGACGACCCGAGAGAGACCCCGGAGAGGGGCGCCTGGGCTCCTTCCTCGCAGTCTCCCTTCCACTCAGCTTCCCAGGCTCGGAAGGCTGGGATTTGCCTCTATCACCTCACCCTCGGAGGGCGAGAAGGAAACTAGGCAGCCAGCCCCCGGGCCTCCCCTTCTCCCTTACCCACCCGCAACTCCTGGCCGAGCTTCTCCCCCATCCCGGTTTTGCCCAGAGCCCCGGACACTTATTTTCAAGCTCAGACACATCAAATTAAAATGTCAGAGTTATAAAGTGGCCGGTTACCCCGGGGAGTTTCGGCTTTGGTTTGAACGACCAGTCCGTTTCCTCTAGAGCCGGGGAGGGGGGGCGGCGGCAGGGGAGGTACGTTTCTCCGTCGCCGGCTGGGAGGGAGAGCCGGAGAGGAGAGGGTAAGAGGGCGGAGGAGGCGCGCACACCCCGGGGCCTGCTGCGGGCTGCGGCGCGCGGGTCCGGGGGCGCCGCGAGTCTCCGCAGCGCCCCGAGCAGCAGCCGAGGGCCACCGGCGCCAGCGGGTCCTCGGCCGCCACGGACACGTTTCCGTAGCGGAGCGCCCTTCGGCGTGTGGCGCTCAGAGACTCAGCGAGGATCCGGCAACCCCCGACGTGGCACAGCGCGGGGAGCCTCTGCGCGTCATGGGGCCTCTACTGCAGGCCACGCAGCCACCCGCGCCCAGAGTCTCTCCAAACCTCGCTGTGCGCAAGGTACAACAACGTGTGAGCGTGCAGCAGAAAGTGCAAGAGACACATGCCCGGAGACAGACGTGGGTCCGACACCCCGCGCGTCCGGGCCCATCCGTGCCCATCTCGGAAGACAGATTCAAAATCATCCTAACCAAAGCTTCTTGACTAGTTGGGAAAGTAGAATTTAAAGTGGTTTCCAGTTGAGGGAGACGAGGCGGGTTAAGGAAGCCAGGGGAAGTGGGGAGGAGGAAAGGCAGAAGGAGGGAAGGAAGAAGCGAAGGGAGGTGGCGCGGAGCTCGGCGGACCCCCTTACCTTGAGCGGCCGAGCCGGTGCCGCTGGCGCTGAGCAGGGCCAGGGCAGGTAGCACGAGCATCTGCAGCACGTATCCCAGCCCCAGTCCGCAGCGGGCCGCTGTCGTCCGCAGACCTTTCCTCATCGTCGACAGAGGTGCGCCGGGGGGAGGCACATACGGAGGAGCGCCGACAGCGGAGAGCCCCACCGGGCAGCAGCGGAATCCGTGCACCGCGAAGCTGTCTGAAGGAGTAACGACGACCGAGCGCCACACTCCACTTTCTCCAAGGGCAGGGGCCAAAAGAGGGTGGAGAGGAGTCGCTGAGGAGGAGTTTGGAGGTCCCGCTTTCCCTGTGCCTGCTAACAGGCGGCTCCGTGAGCGGCGGCTCTGCCCCCACTTGGGAAGTCCGGGAAGGCGCAGGGCGGCCACCTCGCCGCTCCCCTCAGCAGCGGGAGCAGCCGCAGCTCCGCCGCGCGCCGAGCCCGGACTGTTCCCCGGGTCCCCTCGCCTGTGCCGAACACACACAGGCACGCGGGGCGGGGGGCGGGCGGAGGGAGAGGAAGAGAGAGCAAGAGGAGGAGGGAGCGGAGGGTGGGAGTTGTGCACAGTGAGGCGCTCCCGGCTCCAGTCTCGGGGTTCTCACGCGGGCGGAGAGACTTCCCGGCTGCGGCTGCGGCTGCTGGGTGGCCGAAGAGGGTCACCTAGTAGTGCGGGGCGCACGGGCGCGCCGAGGGGTTCGCCCAGGAGGCGTGGAGGGCCCAGCCCAACTCCGCTGGGATGTGAGAGGCGGCGGGAGCGCGCCCGCCCGCCCGCATTAGGGAAACGAGGACTGCGGGAGCGGCGTGCCCGGAGCCGGAGGTGGAGAGCGGCTGTTGGTTTCTCTGCGGAAGCTGAGGCGAGAGCGACCTGAGGAACGAAGCGTATTGGGAGCGTGGGAGCGCGCCGGCCTCACGCCGTGCGCCAGACCCGGACTTCGAGAGCGCAGCGGGCGCGCCCCGAGCCCCTTGGCTGTGTCCAGTCTGCCGCCTCCCAGCTCCTCCACGGCGCCGCCAGAGCCTGAGCCAGACTCGCCGGGACTGGACTCGCTCTAAGACTTCGGGTCTTGCGGTTGATTAGGCGGGGGTGGGGGCGGGCGGGGGTGGGGGCGGGCTCGAGCTGAAGTCCTGCGGGGCCGGGAAGAAGGCATGAAGCTTTTGCAGAGCCCCAGCCCGCGGCAGTCTTGGAGTGGTCAGTGCCACTCAGACTGCTTTATGCTCTGGGTGCCTATGACTCCTCTGTAGTGGAACAGAAACCAAAAGCTCAAGGAAAACTCATTCTTCAACAGAGCTTTATTTTCGTGCACCTTGGTGGCTGGCAAGGTTGAGTATGTAAAGAGTGGTGAGATGAAACCGGAGAAACTCCCAGAAACGATGCACAACAAAATTTGTAGATACTCACTTAAAGTGATGGTGGAACCTATGACATGTTTTCCAGATTCCTAACGGTGTGTGTGTAAGGACTCAAACTGCAGTGCGTTTTTATTATTTTTCCTCAGGAAAGAATTGCCTGGGTAGCTAAGTCGTGGATCCCTGTTGTAATGGTGAAGGGGAAATGTAATAATGGGTGGATAAAATAAGGAAAGGCTGGACAAAAGGAAAGTGGATGGATGGAAAGTCCAATACACATTGGCACACTGACCTTCCAGGAAGAAGAAAACCACTTCCCAAGATTATTACATTTCTAAACTAATATTAAATAATATATCAGAGAAATTTTAAGCTCTTGGTGCCAAGGGGGCAATGTGTAAACACACACACAGGCAGGAAGCTTGTGGTCTCATCTTGGCTGTGGTCCTAACTCATTCTGTCATCCTGGACAGGTCAGGTGAACTGCATGTCTCAGTTTCTCCATCTGTGAAATATTTTATTAGATAGCTTCAAAGTTAACCTCCATCTAAACCTCTAGCCAATAAGACCTGTCTTGGATGAGTCTGGTAGATCTGAAAAGGTCATTCTTGGCAGAGACATTGACAAATCTGGCCACTTCTCATTTCTGTGGAGGCACAGCCTGCCCTGCTAAAACCACTTCTTCTCCCTCTTCAGCTTCGCTACACCAAGATACCAAGATGTTTTGGTAAGAAGGTCAGAAGTTCCTGTGTCAGACTGTCTGAGCTTAATTCTTAGCATTTCGTATTACTAGCTGACCGACATTGAAAAATAAAGCTTGATGCTTCAGTTTCTTAATCTGTAAGATGGGTCTATTTGCAGTAGCTATCTTCTAGGTTTTTGTGAGAGATAAATGAGTTAAACATGTGTGAAGTGCCTGACACATAAAATTGTTAGCTCCTGTTCTTATTTTTGAGGAAAGATTCCCATCAGCTGCATGCTGGCTAGACCAGTGCTGTCCAACAGAACGTTCTGCAGTGAGAAACATATTTGTATCTATGCTTTCCAAAATGGTAGTCATTAGACACATGTGGCTATTGAGCACTTGCAATGTGACTAGTGTGAATTGGGAATTTTCATGTAATTAATTAATTTTAATTGCCACATGGCTAGGGGCTACCATGTTGGACAGTGCAGCTCGGCCACTTATAATATGTCATTTATTTTGAGGATGGCATCAATAGAAAGGGTTCTGTTTATATTTCATACCTGTCCTTACAATTTTTTCCAAGAAGGACAGCAGCTTAAATACTAAGAAACCCTCACGTATACTCACTCTATTAATATCTAAAATTTGTTTATTCATTTGCAATTTTATCGGTTATCTTTTCCAACTAGAATTTAACTCTTTAGGCAGAGACTTTGCCTTGTTCACCATTTCAGCCCCAGCTCCAAACACAGAACCCAATGTAGAGTTAGTGCTCAGTCAGTATTGGTTGATTGATTGCTAGAAAAGCTCAGTAGAGAAGAATCCTCAAAGTCTAGTTAGTTAAATAGAATTAAATTGTTACATAATTCTATTTGGGTTATTGAAGTGCTCAATGACAGACACTGCATAAAATTAATGCTTTGAAAGAAAGAGTAAGAGACAAGGGGAAAAGTAGTTCAATACTGAAATTCAGTCTATAGAGAGCAGGAGAATGTTTTGAGAAATAGTATGTAGAGATGAGGTGGGAAAGAGAGGGAAGAGTTAGTGCACAAGAACAAGGACAGAAAAAGTACCAGCAAATCAATCAGCTTTACCAAACAGGTGACTTTTCTGAAATCTGTAATTGCAGATGGAACTTGCCTTGTGTATCAACATCCTGCCTAGTTTTTTTTTATGGAAGAGAGAATGCAGTGTTGCATAGGCCTCTGAGCTAGAACTGCTAACTTACCTCACTTAGATCTGGGCTCACGTGTCACTACTTAGAGATTCCTTCTCTGACCAATTTACCTAAAATAGCACCTACCATATCACCCTCAACAGCATATACCTGCTCTGATTTTCCATATAGTACTTATTTTATAAAAAACATATGCTTATGTTCAAGTATACATAGATGTATGTATGTATATGTATGTGTATAGGTATATGTATATCTGTTGAATACTCTCCAAAAGAATGTATGCTTCTCAAGGGGAGGAATTTTTTTCTTAACACTTTCGCTGGTCTATACCCAGAACCTAGAAAACTGCCTGGCTCGTAATAGTTGGTCAATAAACATTTCTTGAACATTGAATGGATGAATGAGAGCCAATGGATCTTAAAACTAAGTCCTCAATTAAAACTTCTTTTATTTCCCCCAAGACAAATTTTCAAATTATGAATAGGGTTTTCTAGTCATTGGCTAAAATCATATTGGGGCAAATTTTCACAAAAATGAATTTAACTATGACTTTTTCAGGATTGGAATACTGCAGGTGTTTAAGGAACAGACATGAAATTCATCTCATTTTGAAAAATAAAAAGCTTCATTTAAATCCATGTACAAGGGCTTCCTTTTTCTTGGCTGCAGTGAGTGGAGAATTAGCTCTGAGATAATAAACACCAGTGACAGGTGCTAATGGGAATTAAACATGCAAATCCCTGCATATCCCTCCAGAAATCTACACCTAGAAAAGTATGCTATTTAGCATGTAGGCTGCTTAGTTATAGTATTATTTACTCTAAACTAGTATGGAAAAAGTTTCCAGCTTAAGGCTTAAGACATAAAAAACAGTGAAAATTTATTTTAATTATAGAAATATTTTCTTTCATTTTATCTCATATGTTTGATTCCCCATTTTTTGTCTTTTTATATATTTTTAAAAATAAATCATATCAGAGATATTATTAACTGGCAACATATAAGAAGGAGGATTTTAGTGAATATAAAGAGGATAGTGATGAGGAAACTCACTTAGGAGTTGGCGGTTCATAGGCCTCAGGTAAAATTACTGATAGACATCAACTGAGGAGAGCCAGATGGTCCAGATTCAATTGATTCAATGCCCATTCTCTGCCTCAGCCCACAGAAGGAAATTTGGCCTGCCATAAACCCATACACTCTGGGGCTTTATATTAATTGTATTAGACAAGACCCTTTAGGTTGCAAGTGAGGGAAACCCAACTCAAACCACCTTAAGCAAAAAAGATAATTTATTGCTGTACATAACTCAAAAGACATAGATAGGGCTTCCCTGGTGGCGCAGTGGTTGAGAGTCCGCCTGCCGATGCAGGGGACACGGGTTCGTGCCCCGGTCCGGGAAGATCCCACCTGCCGCGGAGCGGCTGGGCCCGTGAGTCATGGCCGCTGAGCCTGCGTGTCCGGAGCCTGTGCTCCGCAACGGGAGAGGCCACAACAGTGAGAGGCCCACGTACCGCAAAAAGAAAAAAAAAAAAGACATAGATAAAAATATCTACGTTAATAATGGCTAGTGTTTATTGGTCACACACTGTGTGTCAGGCACTGTGCTAGGCTTTTTACATGTCCTATCTCAGTTAATCCTCAAAATGAAGATTAAATTAAAGTACTATTATTATCTCCATTTTATACATGAGGAAACAGAGGGCTTAAGTAGCTTTGCCCAATCTGATTTCAGGGATCATGTTCTAGATCCAAGAACTTAAATACCACCACTCACAGGACTTAGTCCCTCCCCAGTTCCCCCTAGTCTCTTAGTTCTGCTCTCCTCTGTTTTCACAAACCCATAGTGTCCACACTGGGATGTCTGGCAGCTCCAGGTTTATAGTGTCTTTAGCATTATCAGTCTCAGCAAAAAGAGCACTCTCATTCCCATCTAGCGGACAAAATACCAGAATCATGACCCTGGCCTATCCTGGGACACATACCCAAACCTGAGCCAATCACCGTGGCCAGGTGATTAGAATATACTGAGTGGCAAGGCCTGGATCATGTGCCAATTTTTGGGACCTGGAAACTTGGATTGACAGCAGGGAGAAGGGGTTCCCGAGAAGAAAATCAATATACTGAGAAGGAATAAGTAATATGAAAGAACAGATGCCAAGAAAATGGATGTAGGGCAGACAAAATAACTCTGCCTATTCTGTGGTGTGGAAGGGGAGAA